GTACACTTTTATTTTTAATCTTCATGTATTATTCCATATACATATTTAATATTGCTCTTCGCTTTGGCCACCATTAAAATAATTAGAGGAATCTGAATAATTTAGATTCATATTAAAATAAATTACAATTTATTTTTAATTAAATGAATAAATGCTCTATTTTTTTCTTCTTTCCATTTTACATCGATGACGGAAAAATTCTTTCCGTAATTCTTACTTGTTCCAGTCTTCCAGTCACAGTTAATATAAAAAAGTGCGACAGTGGAATTAGGGGTAAATATAGTATTTTCGTACTATATTATTTTTCTTTTTTTTAATTTATCGTACGATTGACTGAAATATACTACGATACTATATGTTATAGTACGGATGGCTATAATAAGCTTTGAGTAGAATTTTGAAATTAAATAATTTAAAATTAATATTTTTGTACAGCCGACTACAATATAAGCGACTTCAATATAGGTTATTTAAGAATAACTCAATAACCATTGGTCTGACCTTGATCAAATTCATATGGGACCACACGAGAAGTATCAGCTTTCATATAAAAAAAGAATCATCGAAATCGGTTCGCCCAGCACAAAGTTATGAGGTAACACACATTAAAAAAAACATACAGTCGAATTGAGTACCGTCTCCTTTTTGGAAGTCGGCAGAAAATGGATTGAGCGCAGGGAATATGTTATAAGTATATTATGCAGTTGTAACACAAAATAACTTATTAAAGATAGAACATGAACGTATTGGAATAGAAGGGAAAGATTGTTAAAGCGGTTTTCAATTGACTTTACTTAAATTCTGCGATCATTATCACTCCGAAATATAAGCAAGTTTCCATGTGATAGATTGAGCTCGCCGAATCATGCGATCTCATAATAAACGTGGGTCATGACTCTCTGGACGTAACAACTTGGACGCGGGTAACACCGAGTGGCTAAAAGCTAGTACTATGTTATATAGAGTATAGACAGAATATACAACTACCGAATGCGTTGTGCATTTTTGGTTTACCCGCTTTCGTAGTGGAAACTACGTCTTGACTCTTGACTAAGCAACCACCAGGAAGACCAGACACTAGGGTAAATAACGAAGCGGCAATCATCCGTCAACATAGAGTTTAAAAAAAAGGTGACACACTTTAGTAAATATTGGACCAGATTTGTACAGTTAAACAAAAAATGGGTACTCGAAAAAACGTGCGCACGTACGTGGCATCCTTGCGTCAACTGTCACAATATTCCTTTGTAACTTTCCGAAAAAGCAATCATATCGCTTCACGAGCTACGAAATATTCCTCGGTCTCGGCTTGACGTGAGTCAACTTCGAGTGGTATTTGTTATGTCACGTTATCGAAGTTTTAGAGGAAGTGATTCAGAACGTGGAATTAATTAAAATGTACAAAAGCCTGATTAAAACAACAGTAAAGTAATCGGATCGTTTTATATAATTTGTAATTTCAAACTCTACCTATCTTATCACAGAACGTTGTTTATTGTCAGCACGGACTTGAATTTAATTTATTGATAAAAAAAGTCCAAAACACATGTTAGCACCTTAGTTCAGTTCAGTTCATAGTAAAATTAGGATTTTTAATACAATAAGGATAACAAGCGAACAAACAATACAACAGTTTCTTTAAAGTGGAATCAAAATTCAGATGCGTTGTTACCCCTAAATACTAAGAATGAGATAGAGTGCCTAGTTTCCAGTAAAAACGGTGTCGCTACCTATTTTACGCTAGGTGGTCCTTCACTGGTAGAGCCCGCCCGTGGTTGGCTGGCTGGCTGTACCACGTTATACTCTATCCGTCCAACTAAAATAAAAGATTAGTGTAAAGTGCTATCAGTCCTATCCATCCTATGCATCACTTCTACGATATTTTAATCTCAATAAGTCTTTTCATAAAATAGCAAGCAAAAAATATACGGCTGGCCTCATTTTAAGTTACCACCACTCAGAGACATTGCAAGCACATACGGCCTTTTTGAAAGAAGTCTCTTTTCTTGAATATTCCTAGATATTATTTTAAAGCTATTTTTATGATAATCTCTATTTCATATTATTTTATCTTTCCAAGAATTCTTGATTTTATTTTAATTATGACACACATACCACAACGAGTAAGCTGGTTGGACATTGGAGAGCATAGACCTGATATGTTCCAACTGGTAAAGATGCTTAATACCATCCGTACGTGGAATTTTCTCATCATCATCATCATCATCCTCATTACAGTCTATCAAAAGTCCAGGCAGGCAGGCGGGTTTTCAACCGCACTTTTCTATTACATTCAAGTTCATATCAGGAAGATGCTGCTGCACATTTTATTTTGTAGCCTCTCTACACCCATGAGATGATATTGAATAGTAGATTCTCTTTCTATGCCGCTACAGCGCGAATTTAATTCAGAAGTATTTGGATTAGCTGTGATCTTAAATCCGCCAACCAAATGTAAAAATTAAGGCAAATAAATAACTTTGTTTTAACTTTTTTTTTAATTTATTAAATTTCCGACCACAAACAAGTTCACAATTATCGACTTATCTAATGCAATTACTGCGCATTTTTTATTATTATGAACTCAGCAACGCTGGTCACAAACTTAAGTATTAAAGTTTTTAAAGATAGATGAAGCTTATTACAAAGTATACCTAGACATTGACAATATCTTGTTATTTTTAATTAAGAATTAAAGTTTACAGACAGTATCGACTAACAAACATTGTAGGGATATGATAGGATATATGACACCACTGTTCATTAGTTTTTTTTTAAATAGACGTGTCATATATTCTACTATCTACTCAATGACTACTCGCTTAAGTTTTTCAGTGACGAATGACGATCTTCTTATAATTATCACGTCCTGTGACATTGATATCGATATCATTAAAATTCTCATTGTACGAGTGCTCATACGTAATAAAGATGATCTCCTTTTTTTTAAGTTTATTAAGCAAAACTTGTCTAGTAAGGGTAAGGGTTATTATATTACTAAAGCCTTCATGTGCCTTCAGTACATGACTGATAATAACCTCTGGGAATGAGGTGATCACTACCATGCTGTTTCTAAATCTTTTCATAATAATAGTACAAAATATTATATTGTAAATTGTGCTTTTTAAAAAAAAGCCCCACCGGGTTTCTTGCTGGTACTTCCCAGGACAAAGGTTTTTTATTTTTTGCGAACCAGTGGTAAAAGTAAAAAATTACTTTCAATAAATATTATGTACTATAATCTATATTGAATAAAAATTATTCTATTCTATACTCCAGCGGTGGACTTTTATATTTGCTATAAAGAAGAAGAAGGTTTGAATGGATTTTTCGCCGTCAGAAAAAAACGAAGTACCTATTACCTACACCAGGCACAAGCGAGATTGGTAACTATAGACAACGACGGTAATACTACTACACAGATTGATTTGATTACTAAAAAAGTAGGTGAACTGTATATACAAATACCTAATGCCTTTTTAGGTCTTAGAAAATAAGGTATCACTATAGTGACTACAATATTGTAGAGAAAGCGTATTTAAAGTTATTTTTCAACAAGCATAGATTTACAAAACTTTTGGTTGCTTCTATCAGGTTAATTTCTTGCTTCGTAATCCTCACTGGCACAATGTATAACTTCTTTTTTATAGGGAATCATAAGTCTGAAGCAGGCAAAATTGGGTTATATGAAACTTGCACCGACTAAACCCCTTTAGTGTTAGACCTTCGCGAGCTTTTTCCATGCCTTTCCACTGGAGAGAACAACTCCTCTGACGATCCGTCATCGCACAGCGGAAGGCACACGGCTTATATGCGCAATGGACCCCAGAGCTCGTTACGCAAAACCCAGGATGACAGGAAACACGAGCACCTAGAAGATCATATCTATGCCTATCACATTTTAGCCGCTTCCATCAACAATTTGCTTTTAGGTAGAGCAGTAGAGTCATAAAGAGCCTAATAGTTTCGCGAATAAGGGCTTGAAATACGTAGTCTTATATTTTCGTAAAATTAAAAATTGATTAAGGATAACTCAATAACTACTGAAATCGGTTTAACTAGAAAAAAGTACTGAGGTAACACATAAAAAATACAGCCCAATTGAGAACCTCCTCCTTTTTTTGAAGTCAGTTAAAAATTAGAGCTTGATTATTTTAGCAGTAAAAAAGTCAAGAAGAACGATGTAGGGAATAAAAATTTTAGAGGGATTTGAAATTTGTAGAGAAAGAAAAGTAAGGAGTTTTTTAAGGTCGATATAATATGTAGAGGCAGCCATTTAATTATTTCGTCAAACAAATAAACAGTAAGCATTATTTCACATGGTAGTGGTATGTAACCATGTAACAAATTCTGTACAAGATTACGAATCCGTGGCTACGAGTAACTTGTCGGCGTGTTGCATCGTAAGTCCTTGATGATTTTGCATACTCTACAAACTCTACACAATAGTAAAATATAGACTTTTTTTACGCATTTAAATTTGAGTACATAATATCACGTACTATATTTCTATTGTTACGTACCAAAAGAAATTTCAAGGTCCAAATCTTTATATATAAAAATTACGTGTCACATTGTTTGTCCGCGATGAACTCCTAAACTACTGAACTGATTTCAATGAAATTTTACACACTGTGTGCAGTTTGCTCCAACTTGAGAGATAGGATAGTTTTTATCCCGATAAGTGACCCACAATTTTTTTATTGCTAATTTCAGGAGTTTTTTTTTAGGAAAGCAAACGGTCATCGGAAAGGGCAGAACGTCTGCTTCGTCAGCTAGTAATCTATAAATTTGATTACAGAAAGATTAAATTACAAATCAAGTTTTATCAAAATGAATCTTACGCAATTGTTGGTGATTGCTGACACTATAACTATTTATTATAGTTATTAAACACTATAAAAGTCTACTGCTGAACTTGGGTTTATTGGATTGCCTCATAGGAGATTACACGCATTGTTACACGCAGGCGGCATAGCATGTTTTGGCATCATCTGTTTGTTATTATTTAGAGTTGTTATCAGGAAGATGCTGCCGCACATCTCCTGTTTCAGTTTTCCTGTGTCGACTTTTACAACACCCTAGATGTTGTATTCTCTTTCGCCGCCACTGAGCGGCGCTGGCACAATGTTATAACCTTGTTTTGATTATATCAAAAGTCCTGTGCAATATTGATCAGTTAATTCTCATGCAAAAACAAATAAAAAAGCTCTAATAAAGAACGGTTTTATCTCGTATTACTGCGATGATAAAATTAGAATCGACTGGCATCGCCTGCGCAGCGCCAGTCGCGACCGAGCGCTCGCGACGGTCACACTTGCGCTCCACTACGCGAAACGCGCGAAATTCAATCTCGTTTCCTATTGTTTTTGCATTCGTTCAGTGTGTTACGAAACTGTGCTTGTGTATAACACCGTGAATGTGCAAGGTTATTAGTGAAACAGCCTAATTGGAACGCAGATCGTTCATCGATTTCGCGATCTGTGTGATGCGTATGTCAGACTTGTAAAAGGTAAGTTCGATTGCTTATACGACGCGAGTGGGATTTGAAAGTGGTGCTTTTTTTTCTTATTGGAAGTAAGTATCTGTGTTGCTGCTAAGTGGGTCTGTATAAAGGCCGTGTGTAGCAACTCTCTTGTGACAGTGTCACCCGGTTTAACGTCTCAACCGTTATGTATGTGCTAGAATGGGTCCGATGCAGATTCCTTATAGTCCGTACCCACTTAGATAAATTGTTGACCGTGACACTGCTAGTCGTTTTTGATTAATTAAACTACCCACTTTTAAATAATTTTGCGATTTCAATGCAAACACATTAATTTTTGGTCTATATTCCAATCTTATACACCTAACTTGGTCTTATGCTAATGCTTGATAAGGATGTCAATTCTACTATATACAATGCACTTCAGGGAGAATATCGGTCACGACGGTCAATCTCCGGAGATCAGCAATATGCACAGGACAGAATTCTAGATAATAGTGCTCAAGTGTCTGCTCAAGCTTTTTCCTCACTCCGATTGTCATCCGATTGACATCCTATCGGAGTATGAACTCCGATAGGATGGCAATCTGAGAGGTCAGACGTAGAGAAATCAGGCGCAGGACCACAACAGCTTTACGTTCACCAGAGTGAAACACCAACTTTCTGACTGATCTGCAACTAAAAAACCTTAAACTGATTTTAGTCCGATCCGGGATTTCAACTCGGAACCGGAGCAGATCGGCACTAGCGTTACTACTCTAGACCAACGAGGTACTCCAAGATAGTATATTACGGGTCCGAATCCTACTAACTATAATTATTCTAAAAGATATATTTATTTATTAGGCGAATCTACTATATTTTAATAAAAGTTAACTATGGCGTAGAATTATTATTAATAAGTAAACATACTGACATACATATATGTTTTATATATATATATATATTATATAATACATATACTTTTAAAAAATTTCGCCATTTAGGTAGGTACTATATTTTTACAAGTTATAGCTTACGTGATAACATTATTTAATCTGTGTTATAGATTTACTCCGTGGTTATAGCCCCAAAATCTTCAGATTAGTATACATTTATTATTTAAAAAAATGTCAGCCCTTTGTGTGACAGATAATTATAATATCCTCGTGACGACTGTAACAATTTCCAAATAATCAAAAGCTTTCAACTGTGCAGGAGGATTCGTAGTATACATAATATAACTAGAGGCACTCATATACAGTAGTTGAAATTCGACCATAATTCATTAAATTTTTAAGGTTGATAAATGTTTTTGTCAAAAAGTATATCTCTATAATCATTGGATTTCATTTTCGATTTTTTTTTAATTCAGTCAGCTGCAAGAGTATACAAATACTTCATCAGAATTTAGTATTTTAAGACTCTCAAACTAAAACTCAATATATTAAGATACTACATTATATAGTAGGGTCGGCAACCTTAGTCCATACACAGAGACACTTATCTTAGCCCCGTGTCCCAAATTACGTTTGATCTGTTTCAAATCTGTTTCCGTTTTCATTTAACAATAATTAAATAATATTATATATAATTAATATTAATATAATTTAAATTTCAATTTACGGTCGACTGAGATGCATTGTTAAAAATCAAAAACAACGCAGTAGCTAAGCGCATGGTTGCGGCGCTGCAAGGCTGCGGGTTCAAAGCCCTCGCGGAACAAGTGTTTGAAATACAAAAAATTGTTCCGTATGTTGTTGTTTTTCCATATGCAATTTGTATAACTTTTATATAGACGAACGAAGCCAACCTGCTATAGAGATTGTTTTAAAGAAATTAAAAAAAAAACACAAATGCTGGCTTCTAATATTTAAACCCAAACCTGCGACGTATTTATTACCAGACGTACTCACCGCTAGTGACCGCGGTCGTCTCTTGAGATTAAAGTGATTAAGTATTTATACAATGCATTAATCGCAAACCCCTGTCCATTTTAAACTTCACAGATAATATTTTATTTTATTTTTTTAACTAGTCGTTGGCGTGAAATCTCTTGCTCTCTGTTGCTATAATATGTATAGTCTGTTCGTCAACTGTCATTCTACTATAGTCCTCACCACTCATTATATCTCGTTCTGAAATGCGAGACTCTATTGTTGAAAGAATGAAATGAAAGTTATTAAGTATTTTTCTATTAAATTCACGTGATTAAATACTTTTTTATTTATTGGACTGGAGTCCAAATTAGTAGCCCGTGTGATGGATCACTGATCCTTCATTCACCTCACGGATCTGAAAACCGGAATCGTGTACCCATATACCGTGCGTCCATGTATAAAACACCATGATGTAAAAAATGCACCGTACCCATTAATCGTTCTTCCTGGAACTGCAATTGCATTGTGCCAAGATGCTTGAACTTATGCTAGTATGAGATATCTGGAAATGACAAACCCGCTGAATTCTGTTTTTGATTCTCAATCGATTAAAGGTCAACACAAAAGACGTCCTACCACCTTCAAATCACGTGATCAATGTGCCCGCTGATTTACTTGTATAAAAAACCTAATGAATTTATCGCAGAATTTCACCATGCCCATGATAGGGTTTGAAAAATAAAAGCCATCAACTGCCATAACATATTTTTGATTAAAAAACTATTTGCCGTCATTTTTATAATAGCATTAGTAAACTCTTAGAATACCAGCGTAAAATATCAGCTTAATGCTTCTGAATTTCGCATTGTGAGTATACCGGATACCTTTTTACGTGAAACAAGGCATTCCATCTTAGTCTATAAGGCATTTTGATTCTTAATCGAGGATAAATGTAGACGTCTATGTGCCACATACCCACTTACTATCAGGTGGTCTGTGTGCTCGTTTGTCACCCTTATTCTATAAAGGTGACAAACGAGCTCTATCTAATAAAGAACCGAAAACACGTTCAACAAAATTTGTCGTACGCCAATTTTCCGTTATCAACAGGGTTGGCTGATTTAAATCAGACTGATTTAAATCATGATTTAAATCACGATTTAAATCGCCTGATTTTGATTAAAAAAATCATTGATTTATATCAACATGTATAAAATAATGTAATAGGCAGAAAATGAAATAAAACTGGCTTAAAATAAAGTAAAATCTTTTGTTGTTTCATGTTATTCTTATTATTCTACTACAATAGTCTCATAAACTTTGGAAAATAAACAACGACGTAGCGATAAGATCTGTCAGTTTTAAAATCAAATTTTTTATTTTTTAGAAATCACTCTTAATATGTATATGAACTGTAATTAATACAGTATGTATTAATTAATTTACCCTTAATCCGTTTCATACATATCTATACAAATAAATAAAATTGAAGTGTCTGTTTGTAATGTCAAAATTACGGCTTTTTACTAAATACATATGAAAGTATATATACGATATGTATAACAAAAATACATTTTTTTAAATTTTTGTCTGTCTGTCTGTCTGTTTGTTCCGGCTAATCTTTGAAACGGCTGGACCGATTTTGACGGGACTTTCACTGGCAGATAGCTGATGTCATAAGGAGTAACCTAGGCTACTTTTATTTTAGAAAAAGAATTAGGGTTCTGTGCATAAAAACCAAAACCCCAAATAACACGCAGGCGAAGTCGCGAGGAACAGCTAGTGTATTCATAAACTTTTAATCCTACTATGTTAAAAAGTGATACCAACTCGTGTATTTCCAAATATACAAAAAAATCAAAAAATTCAAAAAAAATCAAAAAAATCATGATTTTTTTATAAAAATCAGCATGATTTGATTAAAATTAAAAAAATCATGATTTTTTCCATCCCTGGTTATCAACGACGAATTTATACTGCATGTAATACTTTGTGATATGCGATGACATTGACTTATGTAGATAGCTGTTAACCAATTGATAAAGTTATTAGGGAAATGTCTAACGAGCGTAACGATATAGTCAATTTACTAATGTTAATTAAACTATTACCTGATATAGCCTCTTATTATAGTAGTCTAAAGTTTTAATTTGCTTGCCAGCAGTTTTCATCCTTAATATGATAGACTGTAGTAACAAATTTGTTTATATGGGCATCGTGAAAAAATTCTTTACACCATTTCGTATCGTTTGTGGCCTAATAGTGGACTTGGAAAAATCCCGTGGACTTGAAGCCCGCGATAAATGGAAGTCCCACTCGTATAGATATACCGGAGACTGAGCAACTTCAAATATGCGAGAATACTGTGATTGTAATTTCGTTTAGACATATTGAATTTACAGCAAAAGCAAATACAGAAAAGATTTATATATATATATATATATATATATATATATATATATATATATATATATATATATATATATATATATATTATGCTTACGGTCTGATAAGAAATACAAGGCTTTATAAAATAGTTGATCGTAGATCTAAATTAAATTGAATCGATACTTATAGATAAACTTACTTTGATTAGAAATTTGTTACGGATTTAAAAGCCAAGTTTTTAACACGATGGGGTCAAACTTGTATTACGTTAGCGTAGAAGTTAAAGAAAACTAATCAAGCAACACTCTTTTTATACTTCCAAAGCGAACAACGTAAAATAACACAAGTGATAAAATTAAAAATTTTGTACAACCGACTTCAATATAAATTATTAAGTATAACTCAAAAACTATTGGTCTCACTTTGATCAAATTTATATGGGATCACAAGCACCAGCTTTCAAATAATAAAAGAATCATCGAAATCGGTACAACCAGAAAAAAGTTATGAGGTAACACACATAAAAAAAGAAAAACACAGTAGAATTGCGAACCTCCTCCTTGTTGGAGTAAAACTATTAAAAAGTAACATTTGCGCACACTTTTCGAAATGTAACCAGTAAAACACTCGCACTAGGCATCTAACACCAGCCTAATGTTGCAACGGTACTCCATTCATGATCGTACCGTGAGTACCGACATACCTCCTCCTCCCTCTCCTTTACATTGTTTCTTCTAAATTGTCTTAGGCTCCACAAACCATCTGATTTTAAGATTGGAT